CACCTTTCTGATTCCTGATCCTCCACGGACGGGTTGGTCGTTGGATCGCCATCTTGAAGAGGGAGGATTTGGTATCAATGTTGTTGTCAGAGAAAAACCGATACCGCACCATGACGTCACTAACCAGTAGGTGGCAGTAGTGTTCTTTGACAAACATGGATGTCTCCATTAAAGCACATTCAAATAAATATTAATAATACTTATCATTTATTGAACAATATTTAAGGATTTAATATTTGAAGTATTTTCAGAAGTTTGAATTCTGAATACGACCACAAAAAATGTGAGCACTTTTATTATTTTTCTTAATATATTCGGGCAAGTTGGCATTTCTTGTTATTACATTGATTGACATAAATTTTTTCCATTAAAATATCCATATTTTTTTGAATGTTCCAAAGGTAAGAAGGTCTTATCCTGGTTTCCAGTAACACTATTGGCTTGAAATGTGGATTTTCAAAGTACTTCACTGAGGGCCCTGAAGCGCCCTGCTCTGAAGTTAACAAACTGTTCTTTGTTCCTTTGTCTCTCAGTTGGACGGTTACATCGCTAGAACTTGGCCCACCCAGAAGTCTGCTCTGGGCAGCGCTCTGGATCCTCTGGCCGACAAGATCCTCATCAGTGTTTTATATGTGAGTCTGACCTTCGCCCAACTAATCCCAGGTATACAACCTACGGGGACGTTGCTGTTCCCTCCTGTCTGAGGCGCTCATTCACTAACGTTCAGTGAGTCCGTTAGATGGCTGCAGTTACCAGTCTAACTGTTTGTCTTTGCTTCCAGCTCCGCTGACGGCTCTGGTGATTTTTAGAGATGTCGGTTTGATAGCTGCAGTCTTCTGGGTCCGATACAAGACTGTTCCTCCACCGGTGAGAAATGCTGTGAAACATGAAGGCTCTGCTGCATACTGTAAATATGCACACTAATTCTGATAGTCCCAATTTATCTTAAAACTCTAACAGTCAGATTTATCAATCTGTCTGCAAAGTCTCCTAATTTATAAAGTGAAGTGATGGCGACGGAGCCCTGAAGACCGTCCATTTCTGCCAACTTAACGACACTTCCCCACCCAACTTTTTTTTTTTCCCGTGTTTGTTTCAAATAAGAAAG